GTACACAACCCATCACAGCTGCACGTTGTTAAAAAAAATTTTTTGGAGAGGTCACCTCCCAATAAATGTCATTTTGCAAAATCTAACTGCTCACATTTACTCAGTACTTTTACTTTAAATACTTACTTAAGTAGATTTTGTATCAGAAATTTACTTTTGATACTTAAGTACAAAAACTATCAGATACTTTAAGACTTTTACTCAAGTAATATTTTTAGAGAAGACTTTAACTTTTACCAAAGTATTTTTATGATAAGATACTTGTACTATTACTCAAGTATCACTTTGAGGTACTGTCGCGGCAATTTGGGACAGAAACACGTTGAAATAATGCCAAAAGGAAAAAGTCTTGCGGGTATGGTCGTAAAATTATTTGTTTAAGGGCAGACAAAGAACAGAAAACAATCAGGAAGTCTGCTGAATGTGGCCAACCGTCATGAGATGGCAAAACAATGTTATACCCTCAGCTAACACCATGTGACAATGAACAACCAATCACAACCTGCCTCATGTTACTAACAGCCAATGACAAGCTCTAAGCTCAAGGCAACCATATCGTTACGTGGAGAGAGGTCAGCCTGATGCTGGAGTCCCTGACGTCTGGCACCACAGATTAAAAACAGGCATAAGTGGACAGTGTCAAGGTGACACAGAAATAATTAGTCCATGACAGGTACTTTACACTTCCACGCCTATCTCCACCTGTCCCTTGTTTGACCTGTCACAGCTGCAGCCACTCCACTCATCAGCCCCAGTCCTTTCAGTCCTTCACTCCTGTATGGCCTTGAACACTCCCTGTTGCTTTTTGCTGTGTTTCTTCTAGCAACACACAACCTTTCTCTGCCTCTGTTTGAACTTGTTTTGGATGACAGAGAGGACGATGAACAGAAATAGAATGTGGTCCATGTTTTCCATTGTTGGCTGWGGCAAAAAATGACATCATTAGACTTGTGTTCTTGCAGTCCAGCCCATACACAAACTGACCAGGGCTGAGCTCCTAATGTGACAGAGTGGAGGACAAAGTACTGTTTCATTACTTGAGTCAAATAGATTTAAGTTCAGCTCAGGAGAACCAGTGGGGTGAAGAGGTCATGTTCAAACACGGGGTTTGTTCAGGCCACATTAAGGAGATTTCAATCTAATCTTTGAGGGAAGCATTTCACACTGACTGTTTTAGTTATTTGTCTGCTAAAATGAAAATAACATTTGTTACAGTAAACCACAAACCATTTTGTACAAAAAAAAAAGATCAGCTGATAGGCTGCTGCTGACCTTCTCTATAACTAGGCTGTTCACCCCTGAGTGTCAGACAGGCCTCCTCTCTTCCTGTTTTTAAGTACCACCATGAAACAGTGGCTGTTGATCAAAAACAGTTATGTGTTGGTATTTATGTTGATTTAAAGAAAGCATTCGACACCAATGATCACAATATTCTCCTTGAAAAGCTGAATAAATATGGCATTAAAGGACTAGTATTACAGTGGGTTTCTAAGTTTGAAAGATGAAACAGTTTGTTCAAATTAATGATGTAAGACCTGAATTCTGTAACATTAGATGTGGAGCTCCTCAGGGGTCTGTACTTGGACCTAAGTTAACCTCTTAAGCCCCGAGAGGTTTTCTTGATGTTTTTTTTTTTTTCAAAATATCATGCTGAAATGTAATTGAGTATATCTCAGAATTTACAAAGTCTACTTAAATAACCTTGGTATCAAACTAAAGCTAACACTTGGGAGATTTCATCAGAAGTGTAATTATTAAAACAGTTGCTGTGGTTTTAGAGATATTGGGCATGTAACATAATTTTTTTTCACTCTCACCTGAATAAGTTTTGCATTAGACAGTATACTGTATAACCTATTTAAAATAATAATAAATCAGGCTAAAAACTCGTGTACACCATGAATCCACTTGTGGACATTACCTGTGCAAAGATTCATGCTGCTAAAATTAACTGGAGTAAAGTTACAGAGGTTTTAGTAAAGAAATAAGTTTGCATTCTGTCATTCTGCACATATGTTACCATTAATAAATGTTAAGAAATTTTAAGTTTTTACATCCAAAAGTTATTTATTTTTCTTACCTGCCTTAAAAAACTTGTTATTGAATGTTTGTTCTTTTGAAAAGTTATCCAAACATTTATTTGTCACCATATATATGAAACAAAGAATTTTGTTTCCTTTTTTTAACCAAACTGCTGATCAGGACGTAAAGTGGTCGTGTCTGTGAGACTGCTATGCTGTGTGTTTT